TATTTTAATTATTAAATAAAAAATCTGATTGGATATTTTATGTAGATCAGTTTTGATATAAAATTCGATAAGTCGGTTCTCTCGATAAGTCGGTCATATGAGCTCACCCCAGCATGACCGACTTATCGAGTTTACATGTGTACAGCGATCAGTTCCTGACTGGTCACAGGGTTTAATTAAAGGAACTCATGTGATTTATTATGTTTATTCACGAATACTTGTAATTATTTCATGTTAATATTATTAACAACATATCTCTAATGATACACAAATTTTCTTCTTATAAAAGTACCCAAGAAGCAAAACAATTTCGGATTGACGAATTTATGAGTCAACAATGATATATATTATTATCGTTATATTTTTTATTTAATTAAAAAAATTTTTTAATTTATATCACGTGATTTGATCATAAAGTTCGCTTTTTGTGGATCTCTCGGTTTAATATTATATATGTAATAATAATAATAACTAAATTCGAAATTCGAAATCTTGGTTCAAATTATAAAATTAAAAAATTATTGCTTTTAAATTATGTCAAACAGTTTTGATTCTCGATAAGGGTGCTGGATAATTGTTTGGGCACATTTTAATAAAGGTACAGAAAGATATTCAGGCAAGTATGATTCCATATGTATATATTGTAATGATAATGGAACAAAAGGAAGTCCGTAGTTGATACAAGAATATTTGGCGAACAGATGTCCAAACACATCTATTGAATTTATCCTGAGATTTTTTGGATGAAACAAATTCTTTGACGACTCTAATTCTTGGAACGAGGAGGTTTTCTAATAATGATGATCAAAATCAAAAGACAGTAATCAAAAGGATTGAATGATTTTTATGATTCAAAATATTTGCATCACAAATTAATTTTTATTCAAATTAAATTATGATTATTATTTCGAATTAGACTTTGAATTTTGAAATTCGATTTTGATTTTTTGATATTTTGATTTTCGAATTTCGAATTCCTAGTACTAGAGACTTTTCTATTTCGAAACTTAAAGTAAATTTTTCGAAAGTTTCTAGTTTTATGACATTTTCCATCAGTATGAATTATAGCTTGATTATTTGAGTTTACTTTTATAAAAGAACATAGAGGGCAATCGATATATTGTTGATTGGAAAGTGGAATTTGGTAGAAGAAAGGTTCATGTAGAGAGTATTTCAGATGAAGTTGATTTAGCTAAGTTATCAACTTGATCATTATACTTAGTGCCTGAATGTGATTTAATTTTATTTTAAAGATAATGATTTTTTTATGTAGTGAATTGAGGATGTTATAATTTATTACGAGTAGTGTTGGGGTAAGGTTATTATCAAATAGTTGGATATATGATTATCTTGCAAGTCTATTTGATCTTGATCATTCAGAATAATATCTATATCAGATAAGTCTTGGTTATTAGTATCAGTGTTTGCATCGGTGATAAGACCATCTGGGTTCGTATCTAAGCTAGGCACAGCATTAAATGTAACATTTTGTGTAACATTAGATGCATGTAAGGAAGAGATTTTGAGTTGTAGTGTCAATAGAAATTGGAGAGATGGTTTGAAAAAAGATTGTATTAAGTTGCCATTCGAATGAGAATAATGATAACTTTGTAAATTTTCCTTTTTAAAAAGACCTACAAGTACACAAGGTCTTGTCCAGGCGCAATTTTATGCTAAAGGTATCAGGTATCAGAGATTTACATAAATCCGCCGAATGATAAGATCGAGCGTATTCATTAATTTGTCTACATTACTCTAATTAAAGTAGATTGCTCATAATTTCTATCAGATGACGAATAGCAAAAATATAAATTAATGCAAATCTATTATTATCTATTACTGGTATGACAATGTAATCGATCGTTAAAAATTTAATCATTTTTCAGAGTCGTGCATTGAAAGTGATTTCGTCACCAAGAGATACATTGCATAATTTCTTTTTAAAGTTTGTAAATATGATGTGCAAATTTACTTAATAATTTTATGTAAGAATGATTGATTTTTCACTTTCATCAATTTACTCGATATATTAGAAATTCATTATTATTATAACAAGGTTGTTTTTTACTAAACACGGAAATAAACATTAAAAATAAACAATAATCTGGCATTTAACAAATCAATTAACAAAACAAGTTTTATCTAATTTAGATCTAATCGACATTTATATCCAACAATCAAAAAACCTAGATCAGATACATATAATAAATAATTACTTATAATAACAATGATTGTAAATCGTCAAATGATCGATTTAATTGAATAATGATCAAAAATAAATATATATATACAGTAGTATATTTTAAGTAATGCTTTATATAGGAGATCGGGAAATTATAGAGATAGAAAAATAAAGTTATAAATTACAACTTATTTATTGCAAAAAAAATCAAGCTTTAATCAAGTTTACATAGTTTTATTAATTATAATATTCCAAAAGTGAAAAAAACAATAATATACGATAAAGATTTCGTAAAAAAAAACAATGATTAGAAAACATCAAAAAATTTATTTGTAATTATTAAAAAAATAAGGGCTTAATGCTTTTATCTACACGTGTTATTTAATCGAAATTAAAAGTTTTCAGGGTACCTAAATAATTTTCGGGGTCGACTAACAATACAATATATTATATATGTGTGTCATATAATATATAGGTAGATCGATAGATAGAAAATTCTTTCAAAGTGAATATAACCAAAAACAAATGTTTTATTTGGTGAATTCTATTATCTTTTCCTTTTCAAAAAAAAAGTTTGGCAAAGATGCAAATTGAATGCTTGTCTGCATTGTTCTCGATAAAAATAGATATTAGTACTCCAACACTGTTTATCGCAGGGTTGGCAAATTGACTGGTCCATGGATTTTGGACTGGTCCATTGCCATTAATAAAATACTAAATATGGTTAAAGTGTTACACTAATGGACCCAATGGACCACCAATGGACCGCCAATGGACCGCACATTTGCCAACCCTGGTTTATCGTAAATTACACACATTGTATTTTTATGAGATAAACTTATTTGGAGATAATAAATGAGATTCTTATCACACCTGCATTAATTATGCATTAACTTTATATAATTTACACTTGATATTTAGATATAGACAGTCTCGTGAGTATTTATTTGTTTAGGTTACCTAGTACTATTTTCTTATCAAGTGTTCCCGAATTATGCCCTTGTGTTAAGGCTGATAATGCAGGCCGAAAATCATTTCTTTATTAAAAAAATAATAAAAGAAATATCATTTTGGGTCATTTTGGGTAAGTAATCTTGTTATTACAAGAATAATATATATACATAATTCTAAGTATGTTTACTTGAACGACAAACAAAAATGTGTTGATAGCAAAAAAGTTTTCTTGGTTGCACGAACATTAAATGTCCTATTGAAAATTTCCGATTGGCTAAAAAAATTAATCAATAATATCGACCTTTCCTTCTTTACTTTATAATGGACTGAGAAATTTGACCATTTTATGATATTAATATTAATTTTTGAACTTGAATTTTCAGTTCATAGATCCATTATAGAAATTTGTTTGATAAATCGGTCATGCGGGAGTGGCCCGTGTGGCCGACTTATTAAAATAAACAGACAGAGTTATCAAATTTCAAAACTTATATGTTACTTTAGAGAAGCATCTCTCACTTCTGATACTACTGAACGATTTACCTTATTATAGAAATTTCGTCGTTGATAATGTAATGCTCATATTTTTGTCCTCTTCTCCCACTTCTGATGCTTCTTGTACTGCAGTAGTTATCTCATCATCTCGCCGTTTCTATTCTGTATATAATCTAATTAATAAATAAATACTAGCGAGTTTATTTTATCCCGTGTAACAGAAATTAACCACTGACCAAAATTCAGAAGCATAGTAGAAATGTGAAACCAACCTATTGTGATTAATTTAATTATACTCGGGCAAAGTTAGATTGACTGACTTGGTGACTTTATATAGATTGACCGACTAAATTTAAATGCCAAAAAAAAAATTTTTTTTGGCGACTTATAAAGGAGACCTACGTATCAAGTCAAGTTTACATAATTATTTAAATAATAACTTGTTTTCTTTAGTAAAACCTTATCGTTATCTTTTAAAAACTACGCATAACTGGTTTGTTCACAAAAGTTGTAGATAGTACAAAAGATTATATGCAATAATAGAGACCCAGAATAACATTCTTTGATTGGCTTGTGTTACAAATCAATTATTTAAATTCAAAATGCCATTTCCGCATTTTGGTGCAATCCCAAATATTAATATATCCCGTATTCAGGATGTGTGAGTTGATATTAAGTAGGAAGCAAGCAAGTAAAATAAAAATCAAGAAGTTATCCTGCTAAAAATGAATCTGAAAACCATTATTATTATTATTATGGAATGGATTCACAAATAAACAAATACAAAATATATGCATATATGGCTTACAAATTTTGATAATATTTGTGGCGAAGATCAATCTTGATATATTTAGCGACTAAAAAAAAACTTTGTATTATTATTATTTTGGGTACAATACGTTTCACGTGTTATTGATAAAGAAAACATCTTCATCTAACAAATGCATCTTATCTTCGATGCTTATCATAAAAATTGTTTGAAATACCAAGTTTATGCCGACAAATAGCACCACGTGACAAATAATAATTTTGTGAAAAATTACTAAAAAGGCAACATCACTGAATGACTTCCCATTTAATCAATTTCCGAAATATATAATGGAGCAATTTGATTCTTTTATTTTATATTGGTATTAGATAATTTATATTTTCAATCACAAACGTCAATTCACTCATAATGATAAACTAAACAATCACAATCATTAAAATTCAAAAATGTTTGATCTTCATATAATAACTGGGATTCTCTCTTCTTTTTTTCCTTATCTGTTCCAAGTTTTTTTTTTTATAAATAGTAACGATATTTTTTTTTTTTTTAAAGAAAAACTTTTAGAACTGATTAAGTTTTTTAACGAATTTCTTATGATTTAAAATTAATTTAATTTAATTTAATTTTAATTAATCGAATTTAAAAATTAATTTTTTTTAACGATAAACTTTTAATAATTTAAATTTTAATTAAATTAATTTAACATTTAAAAAACCCAAATTTATTAATAAAAATGGTAGAGGGACCTATTCTTGCTGAAGGCATTGGCTGGGGAGTCGGTAATTACCTCTTCATTCATCACGATGATTCATAATTAATGTCACGTGGCATGATTTAATATTTCTTCCTTTACAATTACAGTTGTTGGATTTGGTGCCTTCTTTGCCGTTTTTATGTCACTTTTGACGTTAGCACAAAAACGTTATTTACAAGAACATCAGACCTCTGAAATGTTTATGACGGCTCATCGTTCAGTAAAAACTGGGTTGGTGGCTTCTGCTGTCGTATCATCTTGGACTTGGGCTGCCACTTTACTTCAATCATCTTCTGTTGCTTACAGATATGGTGTGTCCGGGTATGTCATATATTTTAATGATTATGATGATAATGTGATAACTAATGATCAAGATTATTTATTAATAATTTATTTTCAAAAAAAGACCTTTCTGGTATGCCTCTGGTGCAACAATTCAGGTAAATTTTATTTTTTTGGGAATTTTCGATCTTCATGTGACAAATACTAAAATGAAACTGATCTTCATTAATTTTAGGTGCTTCTTTTCGCTATTTTGGCCATCGAAGTCAAAAGAAAAGCTCCAAATGCCCACACTTTTCTTGAAATCATTAATGTCCGTTATGGCAAATCTACTCATATTGTCTTTTTGTGCTTTGGTTTGATCACTAACAGTAAGTCATTTTGTAGTTTTTTTTATTCTATAATTATTTTATATTCAATATTTATTTTACAAGATTACTTATAATTATTAATTTATAGTGATTGTAACTGCTATGTTGTTGCTTGGCGGTTCAGCTGTGGTAAATGCACTTACTGGTGTAAATGTTATTGCTTCATGTTTCTTACTTCCTCTCGGTGTCATGTTTTATACCTTCTTCGGTGGTATCAAAGCCACATTCTTGACTGACTACGTACACACCACTGTAATCTTTATCATCATTCTTACTTTCGTGTTCACCGTCTATTCAACTTCTCCGGTCATTGGTTCACCAAGCAAAATGCACGAATTGTTGTCCATGGCTGCCCAAACAAAACCTGTGGTCGACAATGAAGGTGGCGAATACGTGACTATGAGTTCCTTACAAGGTCTTATTTTTGGTATTATTAATATTGTTGGTAATTTCGGTACTGTATTCGTCGATAATGCCTATTGGCAACGTGCTATTGCTGCTCGTCCATCATCAACTGTCAAGGCTTACTTGATTGGTGGTTTGGCATGGTTTGCCATTCCTTTCACTCTTGCTACTACTATGGGCATTGCCGGTGTTGCTCTTGTTGCTGCTGGACATATGGATCCATTGACTGATCTTCAGGTTGATCAAGGTTTGGTCTTACCTTTAGCTGCTGCTTCTCTTTTGGGTTCACCTGGCGCTATTGCTGTATTGGTTTTGGTTTTCATGGCTGTGACGTAAGTATAAATTTTTTTTTGTAATTATTATGGAGAAGAGGAAGAAGATGATAGGATTTCAAGTAATATTAATTACTAATTAATAACAATAAATTTTTTATTTATTTATTTATTCATTTAGATCTGCTGCTTCTGCTGAACTTATTGCTGTATCATCTATTTACACATATGATATATATAGAACATATATCACATCTCATGTATTTATATTTAAATTTTTTTTAATTTTATATTTAAAAAAAAAAAAAAATAAATTAATTTAATTAATTGATTATTATGTATATAGGCACCAGGAAAAAAAGTTATCAACCAATCTCATTATTCAGTTTGTGCTTTTGGTATTATCATGGGTATATTGGCCACCATCCTTAATTTTATTGGTATAAGTTTAGGCTACCTTTATTTACTTATGGGTATCCTTTGTTCCCCCGCCGTCATTCCTGTCGCATTTACGATAACATGGAAAAAACAAACCAAGAGTGCTGCTGTCGGCGCTTCAATTATTGGTCTTGTTTGTGGTGTCGTTTCTTGGTTGGCAACTGCACAAGGCTTATTTGGTGAACTTACAATTACCACAACTGGTCATAATTATCCTATGTTGGCAGGAAACCTGTAAGTCATTTTTCCTCTTGATGAGTAATATTTATTATTATAATGTTGCTAATAACAATTTTAATAATATTATTATTCTTATTATTATTTAGTGTGTCATTAGGAATGTCAGGATTAGTAGCAACAATTTGGTCATTAATCTCACCAGACAATTTTGATTTCAACGTTACAAAAAATCAACTTGAAATTTTAACTGATGACGAAGTATCAACTAATGCCACCTATGAAGACCCAATAGAGCATGATCCAGTAAGATTAAGGAAAGCGTTCATATTTGCCATTCAAAGCTCTGTAGTCCTCACAATAGTTCTTGTCATTATATGGCCATTACCGATGTACTTCTCTCGTTATGTTTTTTCGGTTCCTTTCTTCACTTTCTGGGTTGCCATCTCTATGATTTGGGCTATAATGAGCACTTTGGCTGTTGCTATATATCCGGTACATATAATCACAATTGTAATCAATTGATATTTATTTAAGAGTTATATATATTAAAAAATTTGTTTTTTCTAATTATTATATATGTAGCTTTATGAATCAAGAAAAAGTATTGCAAGCGTAGTGGGTGGTATGTTTGGTGATATTACTGGTAAAAGAAAACCAGTGACTGAAACCAAACGCACAGAATCTGAACCTTCGACTAATGAAAAAGAAACAAATCAATCAATTGCTTAATTGGTTATTATTTCATAAGAATATTACCGGGAAAAAACAATTTTTTTTAAATTAATTAATAATTTTATATACTTTATTTATTGTAATTTTTTTAATAATATATATGCATATTTATTCATTTTATGATTTTAATTGAATGTAATTAATGTGATCTTAGGAGATAAATTTTTTTTTTTGTTAGAATTGATTTTCATAATAAAATATATTCTCCACCAGAAACTTTCTAAATAAGCATACTTTTTAATATTCAGAATATAAATAAAACTGCGACGAAAAATTCAAGTTGGTGAAAAACCAAATATAAAAGAATTTCATGCTATTCTATATTTTTGTTTTGTCCATACTTTAAAATTTCAAAAAGTAGAAAATGGATAAACTATGTCTTTGAAAGGGCAAATAATTAGTAACCACCATTCTGTAAGTTTTATCATTTTATTTATTTTTATATATGATAATAAATTTTATATGAAACTGAACTTAATAATTATACTGGAATTGATATGTGTTGAAATTATTGATAGATGCCAATAAACTTGCTCTTGAATCATTTTACAGAAAACCCTTTTATTGAGGTAAAATTTTACAAAATTGAATTAAAAAACATCTGCCTTCACACGAATTAATTCCTCCAGGAAAATTATTTGTGTGTGTAAATAGTAAAACGTTATTTCAGTCAAGCGAATTTGAATCATTGGAAAATTCAATCCTATTGAATCCTTAGAGAGATGATTTTATGAAATATATAAAAGTTTGGAAAATTTCACATGATTATATAATAAACAATAACAACAACTTTACCATCAAAAAAACCCAACAATTGAATCAAATACAATTTAAACAAAAGCGTACATTGCAAGTTGGATTGATAAAAAAAATCTACCATATACTTCACCCAGAAAAATTAATTATGAATAGAAATGATTTAAGGGCAGCTCCAAATCAATCAGTTGGTGGTTATAATCAACTTGACTGGGATAAGTTATTAATATAAAAACACAAACGAAGTTTTGTATTTAGTAATAGAAATAATAGAAAAGATTTTATCTTGAAAAATTATTGTAACTACAATGTAAAAATTAATGTTGGCGAAGAACCAAATGTAAAATATTTTCATGCACCTTCATCCATCTTATATTTTTTTCGTTCATATTTTAAAGATACTTTAGACAATCCAACAAAACAAAATGGGTACTATATTTTTGAAAAAGAAAATCCTAGTATACTTTTATTTAAAACAATTCTAAAGCAAAGTGTTTATCTTAATTTGTAAGTTACAGTTGTCAATAATAATAATTTTTCTTTTTTTTTTCTTTAAAAGATATTCGCATATTTGTGGGATCGAATTTAATAGTTGTACCAGAGGTAGTAATATACTAGAACCATTGATGAGCTTGGACTTGGATTATTTACAGATATGCAATAAGCTGCTTTATCAAAAATTTTAAAGACTACATCATAGAAAATGAGTTTATGCAAATGATAATTTTAATGAATTGAAAAATATTTGTACCAATCATTTCAGTCAAAAGAATTTGAATTATTGGAAAAACCAATTCTATTGGCAATTCTTGAAAGAGATGATCATGTTATCAATGCTGAGATAGGTAATAAATTTTTTACCAATTGAAAGACTGGTTGTAACCTAACAACAGGCATTGCTGAACACCATCTTGTTTTTATCTTTAAATCTTTGATATAACTTTCAAGAATAGAATTTGGTTGATGGGATTTCCTAAAGGATTTTATAATCTTATTGGATTTTCAAAGTAAAGATTCTGAAAATGGATGCTTAAGAATATCTTTTGATATTAAATTAAAACAATGGGCAACACACTTTAAATTCAAAATATTAGGATATCTTCTTGCAATTATTTCTCTATCAACATGAACATTTCCTTCATTATCAGACACAATTGATGCAAATTTTTCAGGACCAGCTTCAATAAGAATATTATTAATTTGTTCAGCTAGGAACTTCCCTGTATGAGAATATGATGAAAAATCGCAATGTTTATACACATACTGTTTATAGTCTGGTGTAAGGATCAAATAATTTGTAAACGTTCAAATAATTATCACTTAATTATTTAAACAATGTTAATGAACAGGTAATTTAATTGTTGTTAAATTA